GAAGAAGAAAGGGATGAGAGCGATCAAATGTTTGAAATTTGACCGCAAACAGAAAATGAAATACGAGACAAAAGTGATTTACACCAACAGCAACATGAGCAATGATGGTGGTAATGATGATGTATAACTGTAACTTAACACGGGTGATGGAGTTTTTGATGATGAAATTTCCAGTGGTAAATCTGATGATGGTATTGTAGCAGCCAGAAACATAAAGCAATATCCAGAATTGTACAAAGCTTTGGACAGATAGAGGATAAGTAACAGCAATAGATCCTGCAAAACTAATATGCCAGAGAAGTCTTTAGTGGCAGGAACAAGTTTCTAAGCATGGTGCCAAGATTCAAGAATTAATTTGTATTGGATTTGATGGGAAACAAGACATAACTTTTATTAAGAAGTCTGGTGTACATAGGAGGAAAAAAGAAAAACAATATGTCATTGTAACTTTTCCAAACAACAACTGCATTGATCATGTAATGACAGAAACTTGTAAAGCAGCTGACGTTGTAAACAAAGTATTATCAATAATTGCAAATACAAATTTAGCAAGTATGCTACAAGCAGTTGTTTGTGACAGCACAGTAAACAATACAGGCAGAAGAAATTATGTGATTTGAAATGTTATTTGGAAGGCATTGCAAGACCACTGCTATAGCTTGTTTGCCTGTTGCATGTTTATGAACTACCATATCAGAAATAAATTTATGCTATTGATGGAGAATGTGCAAGAAGTCCTAGTAGTTCCACTGGTGCAATTATGAGTGCACTAAACTTTGATCCCAAGGATTTATCAAAATCAAAGTTTAAAGCTATGCTAGGAATAGTGGTTGAGGTAAATGATGAGCAGTGCAGCAAGGTAATCAGTGACAAAATTATGTCTTTACAAAACACAATGCCAGAAAAAGTCAAGTGAGGTGGCTGGCAAAAGCAAACAGATTTTTGAGATTGTATATGTTAGAAGAGTTCTATTTCCCATCAATCTACAAAATTGGATGGTTTATCATTTATGTTTATGCTCTTTCATGGTTCAACATCATGAGTGATCCTTCTTGTGCTGATGGTGAAGAGAACTTTTTTACTTGTTGAATCAGTGTTACAAGCTTGGAACAGAAGGTTGAAAAATATTGGAACTTATGTTGCAAAACAACAGATATTTCGTTCATTCTAAAAACATTTTTTTTCTGTTGATTTTCACAATGATGATTCTATGCAATATTTCTGTTGTAACAAAATAATTCATTTGAAAAGTAATTTGTGTAATTTTTGTGTGCGTGTTTTTGATAAGACACGCCAATGCTCTGCAGCAGACTAAACTGGTTTTAGACAGCAAATTACAGAGATGATTTTACAGTTACTGCATCCACAACAGGCTTACTTAGTGTTAGCCTAAAATCAGACTTATTTAAACAACATTTGCTTATATTGTTTCATTGAACTATCAATATCTAGAACATTAACATTTTTGTTTTTTAAATTTCAGATATGCCCTTTGTATCATAATATGTGCTCTATAGATTTTTAATATTTGTAGTTTCAAGAAAAGTTACAAGTACACCCTTTGCTTTAAATGTATTCTAAACCATAACCGGTTAAGCAAGTCTGAAAATATTTTTTGACCCACCTTCATATATATGTATATAAACACACACTTTAGATTATTTGTATAAAATATTAATTGTATAACACAATTTTTTTCTTTGTCTTTCATTTTTTTATTTTATACTTTGTATTTAATTTTTTTGTTGTTGTCTTTTATATTGTAATTGGTAATATCATTAACCAAATATCATCATTATTTGTATCATCAAATTATATAACTCCACAGTAGTTATTGGCCATGAAAAGGGTTACTAGTTAGTTAGTGACCGGGTCCTGGCCCCGGCCTAAAATGAGACTTTTTACAAACCCAGCATTAGCCCTGGCAAAATTATAAGATTTAGCAGGAGCTGATAGCAGATGCTAGAAAGAAATTTATAATACTTTCAATAATATAAATTTATGCATACATTTACTATTTATTAAAATATATACTGGCATATATATATATATATATATATATATATATATATATATATATATATATATATATATGTATATATATATATATATATATATGGCATATTCTATATATATATATGGCATATTCTAGACCGTTTTCGACGGTCTAGATTATTAGACCTATATATATGGCATATTCTAGACCGTTTTCGACGGTCTGGATTAGCCCCTGAAATATATAACTTTATAAATGAAGTGTATAACTTTTTATATATATATATGTTACTGCTGACAAGGTTGCAAGAAACTACTATTAAGTTATGAGTAACTTAAAGCAAAAGGATATGGTTAACGAAAGACTTTTAGGTTGTATGAGTAAAGAAAACTTGAAGATAGGTGAGAGTTTTAAGCTTTTGTTGATGTGTAAGGAAATAAAATAGATAAATAAAAAATTTTAATAACATAAAGGGACAGATACAGCTAAAGGGTTCATCTTGCTAAATGAAAAGCCAAGCATCAATAAGTTTTGGTTGACCTAACTAAAGATGATACTTTTTTGAGCAGCGACCATAATAGTGTTTGTAGAAAAAAGAAAGAGATGCAACCTTACCACGATGGTAGAGTGGCTTAAGTTGGCTTATAAAGCAGATCCAGCTACATTTACAATGTGCTTTAGGACTTTGTCTGAGAGTGAGAGTTATTTTTCAATATGGTGAAATGATTTAGATTTCTAAAAATATGTTAATCTGTGTGTTTATCTGTGTTTGCATGTTTACTTGCCTGTTTTTTGCTACAACTTTTCAAGTGTTCTGTCAACCATTTCCTTGATCTCAATTCTTTATTTTCTAGTAACTTCCAACTTAATAGTGGTTGCTTGCAACCTTGTTGAGAGTATATCAGATTTAAATTAAAAAAGTTATATGGTCTATTATTTGCCAAAAGGAAGATGATGATCCAATAGGTGTGTGGTATGACTCTAACAAGACAAGAAAAGAAACATTAATTTTAGACTAAAATGAGAAAAAAGGTCGAATCAATCATCGTCAGAAAAAGAGTGGCTTGTATATTGTGAAAATAATTGAGGTGGAAGTAAGAAAGTTTGAATGATTTAGCTAGAGCTGGTTCATACACATGTATGAACCTAGTTAAAGAGCAAAAATGGTCAAGATTTTTTATATCAGAGAATGATGATGATGATGATGATGATGATGATGATGATGATGATGATGATGATGATGATGATGATGATGATGATGATGATGATGATGATGATGATGATGATGATGATGATGATGATGATGATGATGATGAGATGATGATGATGATGATGATGATTAGGGGTGACTGGATCGGAAATTTTGAACCAGATTTGCCGGAATTTTTAATAAAATTCCGTCCGAAACAAGAATTATACTTAATTGTCCATAAAGTACGTATGCTAGGATGGAAAAAGGAGGTCTCCTAATGGCATATATGAAATGGGGGTAGAGGGTCAACTATTAAAGTAAGCAGACATATTTAAATCATAAAATATTAGGTAGGTAGATTAAAAGCGTACAAAATTTAAGTATGTACTTTATGTATTTATATATATATATATATATATATATATATATATATATATATATATATATATATATATATATATATATGTATATATATATATATATATATATATATATATATATATAAATATATATATATATATAAAAATATATATATATATATATATATATATATATATATATATATATATATAAATATATATATATATATATATATATAAATATATATATATATAAATATATATATATATATATATATATATATATATATAAATATATATATATATATATATAAAAATATATATATATATATATATATATATATATATATATATATATATATATATATATATATATATATATATATATATATATATATATATATATATATATATATATGATTTTTTGATTACTGTTTCATTTAAATCTAATAGTTTGTTTTTATTTGTTTAATATAATTTTATTTATTGAAAGTTTTAACCTGCATAATATTTATATTTAAAATTATTTCTTTGTTTTCTTTTTTTCATTTAGATTAAAATTAAAACATTTTCTATATTAGGCATCCTATATATATTTTTAATCGATTAAAATTTTAGTTACATTTAAAATGAGACTATACTATTCTCAGAAGCAGGAACATTTTTGATGAAAAAAAGAGCTAGTTTGTTGCCCTAAACTGGATAGCAACTCTTTTTGCTCCACAATAATCCTAAACTTCTAAAAATCCTTACATAATTGATTTTTGCCTACAAAATTACATAATTTTTGTTAAGGACTTTGTATTTTTTACCTGGTTTACTTATAGTTCTTCATTGCCCTGTAGAACAACAATTTAATTTACACAGTCTGTATCAAATGTCATTAAAAGTAAGGGTAAAAAATAAATTCTGGCATTCTGGGCTGAAAAATTTTAATTCCGGCCGGAATCGGAATGACCTAAAAGTCACAAATTCCAATACATTTCTAATGATGATAATGATGATGCTGATGATGATGATTATCATGTTGATCATGATCATGTTTTTATATAAACATAAATGCATATATATACATAAAATATAGCATGAATTTTGAATTAAAAAAATATACTTTAGGATGTATCAAAATTTATGAAACCCCAGTTACAAACTCGGCCCTGCCTTGGGTTAAACAACAACCCACAGTTCATTTTAATACTAGTGTGGAGTTATAATTTATCAAGTAATGATTATAATATAATGCAGGTTAATCATTTAGATACAACCACATGACCGCAAATGAAATTTCAACTCTGTTATTAATTATTCTCAAAGCTTAACTTGGTTAATATATTTATATCTTAAATACAAACAACAACAACAAAAAATTTAAAAGAAAACAAAAATAGTATAAATAAAAAAAAAGTAAAAAAAAAGTACAACTTTAAAAATAATTTATTTTATATTAATTTAGAGACATCAGAAAATGTTTTGAACAAATCAAAGATGATAGCAGTGCAAGAGCTGTTATTCTTTCGGGTTCTGGGAAGCTGTTTACCTCAGGTAAGCTTTTTTCAAGTAAATTTTTGCAGTAATTATATTACTGCAAAAATTATTAAAATATCAAAAATAAATATTAGTATATTTTAAATATATTAGCATATTTTAAATATATTAGCACATTTTAAATATATTAGCATATTTTGCAGTAATTGCTTAGTTAAATGAGAATTAAAAACAACAAATGATGAATTTATTGTTACATTTATTGTTTCACAATGTTAAACAACAAATGATGAAAAAAACATTCAAAATTTGAAAATAAAAATAAACACAAATCTTTCTGCAATCTATCTCTTATTTTCAAACGAGATAGACAAAACACAAAGATAACCAAATAGCTGGTGTTGGCAATGGTGACAACAAATTAATGAATTAAACAAAAGAAAGAGATGCAAAAAGAGCAAAAAAATTCATTATCTGCAAAGATGAACCAACTAAAGAAAACATTGAAAATGAAAAGCATTGAAATCAAATGAAATAATGAAAAAAATTAAATGAAAGTTTAAAATCATAAATCAAGAGTTAGACGGCTAAGACCAACCACTAATAACCCAGCCTCAATTCTGGTTGAATTAGGTGATAATGTTTTATAATAACCCAGCCTCAATTCTGGTTGAATTAAGTGATAATGTTTTAAAAAACACAAGTTTTACATCAGCTAATAAATTAAGAAGAAATGAACCACATAAAGAGACTTGCCTTAATCCTTACCTTACATGATCCTTTACTTCTGTCAAATTTACATTCAGATTTGATCAGATTTGACAGATTTTAGAGACTCAAAGACTTTAATTTCAGAACTAAAAGAAATAAAATAACTCCAGCAAGAAAAGACAACAATTCCTCTAGTATAATATCAGTTGCATTAAAAATCCAAATTGCTGTGTCTGAGACATAGCTTAAAAACAATTCAGTAGTAAACATTGATAATTTTTATCTGTGTATAGAAAAGAAAATCAGGCAGTTACTTAAAAGAGATATTTGTATGCCTTTTTACCTAGACAAATCATTAGATTCATATGAGTTAGATGATACTGGTCTAAATTTATATAAACTGTAAAAAGTGTGAGCAATTGTTTATTGTAGAAATGACCTACTTGACTGCAAAACTTGATTTAGTTTCCAGCCTGCGAATTAGAAGGTTAAGTAACTTGATTGTTGCTCTGTTGCACCGTTAAACGTGCCAAGTTGTTCTCAGAGATCTCTAACATTTTTCTAAGATTACCTGATTTGATTTTGTCCATAAGGTAGTTTTATTTTATTGGTCCTGAGTTGACATCCATTTACATTTTTTTACATTTAGTTCCATGAACATGTGACAAGTCTTTTTTCAAATAATACCATGTTGACATTTGAAAAGCAATTTGTTTTTTTACAAAATAAAAAATTACTTTTCAAATAAGGGTTCGTCCATAAATTACACAACACAAAGTATATTTAAAAAACTAAAGTAGGAGATATTAAGCTCTTTTACACGGTGATTTTCATTAAACTTAATAAGCTATTTTGATTTTTTTTTAAATTAAGACTCTGTGAGGGAAAACTTTTGATCTTTTTTGTTTTGTTTATTGTGAAAGTTTGTAACGTAATTTATAGGCCATCCCTAAGCTAATTATGATTTTTCTATTGGTCTACTATTAACTGGATCTGTTTTGTTGCCTTTTATATTAGAATTTTAAAGTTTATATTAAGACCTGATAATGGAATTTATCCCGACTTTTTTTAAAGTCAGGAGGTTGATGCTAGCTTAAATAGCTGGCCACAGCTGTTTTAACAGGCCACAATTACATATGTTACAGTTATTATAACAGGCCATTTTATAAAAATTTGTTAACTTTAAGATAATAGTATTTTTTTCTATGAACTTTCATCTTCAAATAAAAAAATATAAAATATATTTCTTTCTTTTTTAAATAAGTATTTACATAAAGTGGAATAAATATAAATATTGTTAAAATTCTTTTAATGATTTAGAATTACTTTTCTGGCTTTTGCGTATTTTACAGAAATCCTGACTTGGGCCAACTAAGATTTAATAACTTATTTCTGTGTTTGATGTTTGAAATTTGAACACTTAGCCATGAAAGTCCAATCTATCTGATTCCTTTGTCATCCTGGTTATTTTTTAACAAAAAGCCCATTTTGAAAGCATTAAATTTTTAATTTATCACTATTAAATGCAAAACATAATTTTTTTTGATGGATGACATAAGTTATTGAAATTTCAACCTTTTATGCAAATGAAAATAAATAAATAATGTTATGTACTTTCAGCTATGTTATCAAATATGTTATAAGAATAGAATATAAGATCCTTGATTTATAAAAGGCAGTTTTTTAATCTATATTGGTATGTTTGTGTAATATTTTTTTAGTATTAATTTTCCTTTATTATATGTAAGATAGATTTTAAGTATTAAATGCCCATTCCATTCTTATCTATAGAACTTCGTTCAAATCTTTCTCTGCAGTTATATTATTATTATAGTTCAACCCTTGTAATTAGGGTTGGCATTCGGCAATGCAGACCTAACTGCCGACCTTTAAGTGTTTGAGGTTGGCAAAAAAGTGCCAACCTTTTAGTGTTTAACGGTATGATCTTTGTACCAAATTTTTTTGCCGAACTCTAAAAGATTGAGGTTGGCGAGTTATTGCTGACCATATTTTCCCTAATTCTGAGGGTTGATCATTTATTTCAGTTAAATTGTAATGTAAATTGAAATCTTGACTCTTTTATTTATAAATATTCTACACCTTATTAGAATTGTATGCACAAAAAAAAAGTTTTTTTTTTTTGTGCAAAAAGAAGAACTGTGGTTTTATTTTTTTGTAAAGTTTTTAAGAACAAGAATTTCAATATTTGAATATTTTTTTAAATACTATATAAACATTCTTTGAAAGACATTTTTTGTAATGCAACAATTTTGCAAAAGTTACAATGTGGCTTACTGACTGAAATAAGCTTTCAGTTGCGCTAGGTTAAGTAAAAACTGTTTTTATAATAGCCTACAATGTTTATAATTAATAAAGATGAAATTTTTTGAAACATTTAATTAGATTTTTTTTTTTAAATCAGAAGTTACATCAAATTTAAAATTCATCTAAGTTCATTATTTGCCGCATTTATTCAAAAATCAAGATAAAACATTTAATTGATGTTAATATTATTTTTACAGAAAAAAATTTTCTCTAATATTTAAAAAGTTATTTACTACAGGGTTCATGGCACTCAGGGAAAACCTGGAAAACCAGGGTAAAGTTTTAAAAATTTAGAAAATCAGGGAATACCTGGAAAAGTCAGGGAATATTTGTTAAAAATCTGTAAAATCAGGGAAAACTCAGGGAATATTTTTTAGTTTTTTATTTAGCTTGAAGTTATTTTGCAAAATACACATTTTGAGTGTTTATTGTTGTTGAAAATTGCTCACTAAAGTGGTTTTTTAACTTTTATATTATATAGTAACTATATGTTTAGCTAAATGTATAAATAAATATAATAATATAAGACATGACTTCAGAAAAGACTTATTTTCAAGAGGATTGGTTACAACAAGATATTTATAAAGATTGGTTAGTTCCCAACGCACATGCAAAAACTAAAGCTCATTACAAAAAATGTAAAAAATCATTTGAATTGTCCAATATGGGTATTCAGGCTGTTAAAAGTCATGCAGCAGGTATTTATATTAACTTTTTTAATGTGAGAGTGAGAATTAAAAAGAAATGTTGCTTGATTGATTCATTATTTTATATTTTAATATCATTTTCAAACACATTGTAATCAACTTTTGATTGCAACCTGTTTCAGTTGTTTTCCTTGTTGGTTGGTTGCTTATATTGTTATTTCAAACTTTGCAAGCTAAACAGATTGAGAAAAAAGATAAAAATTTTATCTTTTTAGACATTTTAAATGTTTCATTATTTATTTATCTTGTTTTAGGTAAGAAGCATCAGTCTGCTACAAAGCCTGCTAGTTGTTTCTTTATTAACGGAAAAGAGTTGCATGCTAAACCACTTGGAAGTGATGAAAAAATATCCACATTTTTCACCAAAAAACAAGCAACTATTGTCTCTTTAATTAAATCATCGTTATCAACTAATGCTTGTTTTTTGTTTTTTCCCTCTTTTTTTGACCTTTGTACGCTTTTTGATGCATATTTCATTATAGGTACCAGAGGGTTACTTCATTCTTGAACATTGCAATCCATAAATCTACCTTGTCAATTAATATTATTTTTAAAAAATTTTATAGTAATTCATATTTTCTGTAATTGTATTTAAAAAATACTTAATTACTGTAATTTTAATTAATAATTAATAAGTATTATAATTTTAATTACTGCAATTGTATTTAGAAAATGTAAATTTATTTTAAATCGTATTTACTGTAAATGATTTTTTAGCTGTTAAAACTATTTTAATTGTTGCAGTTAGGGTTAATTGTTGCAGTTAGGGTTATGCTGCAGTGGTTAGCTAAGCAGTATAGATCCTTGAGATGCAGTACTAAGATAAGGTTCTGTCAAATCTTCATTGATATTTTAATTTTAATATGATTAGATCAGATGTTTTATTTAAAAACTCAGTCTTAGACCTTTAACAAGCTGGTAGAGATGGTTTTTACAGAAAGAGCTTCATTTGTTAGCATAGAAATTGGATTTAATTTTAAATTCCTTTTTTCTTTATATTTTGTTTTTTTAGAATAATTTTTTTCCCTAAATATAAGACTTTTTTTTTAATTTTTTTCATTATATATTTTTTTATTTATTATTGTTTTATGTTTTTCACATGTGCCAAATTACAGAGTTGAGTTTATTATTTCCTTGGTTGCTCGTTTACAAATAATGCTTTTTTTTTTTGTTGTTGATTTTTTTCTGATTTTTTTGTATTTTTGAAATTAAACTGAAATTAAACTGCAGTTGTAGTTCACAGTTAATAGTTTAACTGAAATTCTTTTTTATGAATGTTTTTTTTTTTAATTTTTTTTTTTGCACCAAAATTTAGCTAAAAGATTTCATTGCTCTCTAAATAAATTCACTTATAGCTTACTTCAGTTATTTATTCCTTGCAAATGCTTTTTGCTTTTTTCAGGAATAAGCAAATATAAAAAATTATGATTTGGTTAAAAAACCTTTATTAAAAGCAAAACTTATTATTTGAAAGATTTTTTATATATTAAAAGATGTTTTTTCCATTTGAAAAAATATAATAAACTGTAGCAAACAATTGCAAGTCTTGATTTCCAACTGGTAGCAAATGTCAAGTTGCTGAAATTTATTTATTAAAAATTGGAGAAAATGAAAAGTTTCATTTTACCCAGGTTTCCTGCCTAATAAATTGTGAGAAAAAAATGTAGTTCAAAATTATTAAAATAAATTGTTTTTTTCTTTATAGGTTTAGACCTTATGAGTTATATGCCACATTTAATGCCTAAAACAGACGAGGATGTTGGTCGTAGAGCATTTCAACTAAGAACCATGGTTTCTGAAATGCAAAATTCATTTACAGCAATTGAAAAGTGTCACCAGCCTGTAATTGGTGTCGTTCATTCAGGTTGTGTTGGTGGTGGAATTGACTTAATTTGTGCATGTGATATTCGGCTTTGCACAAAGGATAGTTGGTTTACAATTAAGGTATAAAAAATTTTTTAAATGATTTTTAACAATCAAGCATAAATTATGCTTTTAGTGTTTTAAATAATTAATCGGAATATGTATCAAGAAACCTTTTCTTTTCAGAATTTTAAAAGCATTGCAAGGTATTCAGTTGAGGACTGGATGTTTCATCAATTCTAATTATTCTAAATAACTTTATTTTTACAAAAGGTATCTTTCTAGGTACAAAAAAATACAAATCTCATTAAGATTATAGATTAAAGCTTATGTACTGCATTTTCAGATTTTTAAATTTAAAAATAATTAAATCATTATTTAATAAGCACCTGAAAGAAGTTTGGAAAAGAAGTTTGGGAAAGAAGTTTGGAAAAAAGTAATAAAAATTGCTAAATAAAAGGGTTTTTGTTTAAAATCTAAACATATATAAAATCTAAACATAATAAATTCAAAGATTTTTAAATCAACACAGTTGGTAATCCCATAATTTTTTTTATGAAAATTGAGTTTTTTTTTTTAAATTTTTTACGCTTTTTAATAAATTTCTATAATGATTTTTTCAACAAAAAAAAAGACACCTTTAATTTAAGAAATATATTGTGCCTACCTTTTATTGGTTGTGCAAGAGAAATTAACATTTAGGCTGAAAACAGGATTTTTTGTTGTTCAAAAAGACTATTATTAAAAAAAAAAACATTTTTGGATCAAATAAATCCAAATACAAATTAGAAACTCTTAAAAGATTTAGAGATAAAACAAGTTTATGTCGCAAACTATTATCTAATGGTTTTCAATGCGCTCAATTGAAAATCCAATATACTTTAATCAACAAAACAGCTAGAAATTTAGTAAACTCAAAAAAATTCAGTTTTAAAAAAAATAGTTGAATCCTTAAAAGAAAATCATATCCAAACAGAAAAGTAAAATAATTTACATGAAAATGGATGAAAATACTTATTTACAAACAAATGGTAATGGTATTGATTTATTCCTTTCAGTATTTGTTAAAGAAGACCCAACAAGTTTTGCTAGTGGTACAGTAATAAATCAAGCAAGATTTTAGAATTAGATATGGGTAATAACTCAATAATAACTCAAGACATCATTAGGAGTAAATTTAGTATTCTATTAATCTAAAAATATATTTTAAAAATAAAAAAAAACATTTTTCTGTCAAATAATAATAGTATTTCAGAAAGAAAATTGGAGGATTTTTGTAAAAGTGATATAAAAAATTGTGAATTTTTGCACATGATTTTGCTGTAGTTTTTGATTATCTCAAAAACTGCTAATGGCGCCATATAAGACCATATTATAAAAATAATTTATTTACAAACAAAAAGATTGTTTAAAATATCATCTGCTGATGCACTTCTGCACATACATGAGTGCTTAGAATTTCTTTTATCTAAACAGTTTTCGCAAAAAAGACACCTTTGTTTGTATAGCTCAATATTAATTTTTCTGCCAGATAACATTGCTCTCAGAATTGTGGAAAGAAGCAAGCCATATTTTTTAACTAGTTTGTGGTCTGTTTGACTTGATATGTGATTTGTAATTACCTTTTGCAGTACAGTATTATGTAAAAGTTTTCTGGCAACATCTTTGTATTTTCCCCCATGTCCAGTAAATTCTGCAAAGTCCATTTTATTCCTGTTTTAACTTGGATAATTTCTTGTAATTTTGCTTTTCCTTCTTTCAGAAATGTTGTGTTTTTGTTAGTTAAGACACCTTTTATACCAAAGCACCTGTTTGCCTTAGATTCTTTAAAACAACTTTTTATATCAAAGCTCCTGAGCAAACCATGTAAAACCTAATTGGGCCTAACATTTAACATGCAATCGGGCATATTGTATGACCATGTTGAATGTTGTAAACTTTTCTTTTTTTCAAAATGGTCTCGTCCTTTTTTATTAAGTCAAGAATTATTTGTTGTATGGACTTAACATCCTTGCTTATGATGAAACCATCTTGAACTATTTGTATATTTTCACATTGCTCTTTTGAAAGGTCACAAAGATTGCAACATGAACCTCCAAGACCTTGATAAATATTTGAAGCTTTTCAGTCCAAACTAATAGCGACAATGTTTACTTTAACATGGTATTGATTTTCATTATGCTCAAGAATAGCTTCATCTTCCCTCATACAGTGTATGTTTGGACCAAAATTAACAAGATCATTTTGGTTTTTCAGAATCTTGGCGTAGTATAGATTTAAAGCAGCATTCTCTCTATGCCTTGTTAACTCACTGGTTTTGTTACTATGGTTACTTTTAAGTTCATTTTAAAAACTCTTTGAATAATCTTTTTTTTGATTTTCTAAACGTTTCAACATTTGATTTCAACATTTCAACATTTGATTTCAACATTTCAACATAACATTTCAAGAACTTTTTCAGTGGCTTGTGAGCTTTGTTAAATAAAGGCAGAGATTGGATATTTTCATTTGACTCTTTCCCCATATGAATTATCTATATAAAGTTTGCAACTAGAACAGTCTAGTCACTAGCGGAACATATTTAGCTGTAAATACCTATGAGAAAAATATTAAATGATTTTTTTAATTCATGAAGCGTAAAAAAATATTTCAAATACATATTGCAATCATGTAATTGTTTTAGAAAAGTTGACAACTTTTTTGGTGTCCTAGAGTTATGGTACGCCCTTGGGAGTATTTTTTAATAATTGAGTTTCAAAAATTAAGCTAAAAATATATATAATGACCATTTTTATTTTCCCATGCCGCATAAAGAGATTTTTCCTAAGTATTAATTATTAATTTATAAGTATTGATTATTATTCTTTTAGTATAGTCAAATGTCCACAAAAAGTGCAAAATAAACCACTGTGAAGTAATTTTGAAAAAAAGAGCATCAAAATGGTTAACAGTTAACAGTAAGGATTCACAAGGGCCTTAAACCTCTTATGTCTTTAATTTTTATAAATGATATACTAGATGCAGTAAAAAAATGTGTTAAACTGCAGACGATAATAAAATTATAAAAAATCAGATGAGGACATAAATATAAATAAAATACAATTAGGTATTGATATTATTATGAATTATATTATTAAGTATCCAAGTATTTTATATGTCTTTTATATATCCAAAATTGTGTAAAGCTTTACTTGTAAAAGTTGTAGCTTTTAATTTTAAAAACAGATCATATTGCATAGATATAGGGAAGTATTTTATATAAAAAAAAATTTAATTTTTTAAGTTAGTCTTTTCTAATTTTTATACATAAAACAGACCATTTTTGCCATCTGATTTCATTTATTTTCTTATTATATTTTGGTTTAACAATAAATTTTTTTTCAATAAAACCCCACTTATAGTTTATAATAAATCAAATTTATTTTTTCAATCACTGTTTGAAAGAAACACTGAAAAATTTAAAAGTATATTTTCTTTTTAAACCACATATATAGTACTGTTCTTCCTTTCAATATATGTAGTATTTTGATTTTGTTTTAAAATGTAAACCACATATATATGTAGTACTGTTCTTCCTTTCAAACTATAAAGCTACTAAACTTGTATCATCAATAAGATTTATTTTCTATGAAAACAGATTTAAATCAATAAATCTAACTACATTGATGGAACGGGGGCAAAGGAAAATTCTGATACAAATGTTTAAAAATTATGCAAAACATTGAAAAACTAGAAAAAAATATTTGTTTTCCAAACATTAACAACTATTTGAGTGGTCATTGTTTTAAATACTACAAACAAATGACAAGGTATAGATACCAAGAAAATTTCTTTTTAATTGAACAGTAAATTCTGCTGTTCAATTATCTTCAGTCAACAGTTCAATTATCTTCAGTCAACAGTTCAATTATCTTCAGTCAACAGTTTTTAAGCAGAAATTGATTGCTGGATGAGCAGCAATCAATCATTTTGGCTGATGTAGTGTACCTGATAACACACTCACTGGCATAGCCAGTGAGTGTGTTATCAGGTACTACAACATACCATATTTAGTGTTATTTAATGTTTATATAATGTATATTAATGTTTTATTTATCCCTTGTATTAAATAATATATTTATATTATTTATAAATTAAATTATATTGTTTTTTATGTATATATAAAGGAGGTTGACCTTGGTTTAGCTGCAGATCTTGGTACATTACAAAGGTTACCAAAGGTTATTGGTAACCAGAGGTAATTTTATTTTTTTAATGCTGTTAAATTAATTTATAGTAAAAAATAGTTTTATAAATTTAGTAAATAATATAATTTTATATATTAATTTTTTTTTTCTAAATTAATTATATAATATCTAAGATAAAATGAATTTTATTAGATCCTAATATATGATCCATAGTCCTTATTACTTGTTTCTTGCTAAAATTGATTTCTCAAAACCAATGTTTTTATGATGCTTGTTGTGTTTATTTAAGCTATTAAAATAAATTATTAATGAGGACTCCAAATCATAATTTAGTTCTTGGAGAAAGAACAATGTTGCTTGACCAATCTTAATTAGTTTTTCAGCACAGTGAATCAGTCAGAAAAAGCATTCTTCCATTAGTTCTCTAGTTACATTAAACTATTTATTTAACATGGCTTCATACATGACTTATTGTGCATCTCAGCAGAAATGATAACCTATCTGAATCTTTCATGTCAGATATTAGTGAATTGTCAGATGACAATAGTAAAGTTTATGTTCTTAGTAATTCATAAGGTAATTTTTACTGGTATTAAAAAAATCTTATTTTAAACTGAGATCATTTATTGCCACTTTTTAACCTAAGTAAAAATCAGGACTTACAATCATGCTTATGTTAAGTGCAGCTTCAAACAGGTTGAATAATAAATTTGGAAAGCTCAGGTTAAGTGCAATAAAGTTTACACTTAAAAAGTTGTTTCAGTATGGTTAAATCAAAGTAGGGAAATTTGAAACAACAAGATAAAGAATGCTACTGTATTTCAGCACACCAGGTTTCTGTTAGACAAATCTTATATTTGCATTTGATAAGGAAAGATTTTAACTTATCAAAATTAGTATTTAAGCCTCTGATGTTTATGAGTATTACATAGAAATTTCGTACATTCGTTTAAAGTTCAGCTTTGAAAATTTTGTTTTAAAGTATGGAGTAGTAAATGCTTTTCTGTTATAAAAAATTAATTATCATAATAACGGTTACTAAAAACCAGACTGACTTTAACTGACTTTTCAATGCCACAGGCAAAACTTTTATTGAATGCTTATATCCATTGTTCTAGCAAGTAGAGATAAGATAACTGATTAACAAGTTTTTAATAATAAATTGCAAGGTATAAAGTGCGCTGTAGATCACTTTAAAGCTTTAAATTCAAAAAGCACCATCTTTGATTTTTTCGAACATGCTGAAAATGACACAAAAGAGTACAATATAGTGGTTGTGTGGCCAAATTCATGAGCACAGTCATCAAGTTTCTAAAAACCATGTTTGACTACAGTGACTACAGTGGTTTTGATGATGTAAGCCAGTTAAAAATTTGAATGCACTCATTTACATACCATTCAAACTCTGGCCAATTACACTGTCATCAAAATATATACAAAACATGATATACCTATTTGACAAAAGAGAAAAAGAGAGCAAATCAAGACCCACATCATTCATTATTTTTATTGCCATTTTCAGAGAAAATCAGTCACCCTTGATGATGGGTTTTACTTCTAGTTGTCATATTTGATGATCAATGTAAATGGTCAAAATTAAATATAATAAAAATTGTAAGTTTGAACCAAAAGTGCTCATCTGTCTGGCTGCTTCTGACAGGCCTTACAGTCAGTAAAGCTATCAACAAAGAGAATGTTATCAAGAGGGAGATGTTGTTTATCGACACACCGTTATGCTTATAATAATTATGTATTTTGGCTAGACCTGGTGTTATTACACTTTGCTAAAACTGTAACTGAGTACTATGAGAACTATGACATTTGATTTTAAATTTTTATTAAAATCCACCTTATGTGTTGTGCTTATTTTTACAAGTGTGTAATTTGATGTCTAAAGCTAGTATAGAATTGAATTAAAAACTAAAATAAGTTAAATTGTCACTGGTAATAATTATTTTTTTATTTAAATCACATTTGCGCTGACAATTTTACTCATGAGGAACATAAACTCACTGAAAATGCTGACCTTATTTTAATTTCAATTGGACTTCTTCTGAGGAGGAAAAAGCATTGCCACTACCAACTAATGTCTTTATAAATAAATAAGCAAAAAAAATGAGACATAAATATGCTGATGATGCACAATTGTCAAAAACTTTGACGAAAATGCACCCAAATTCAACAGAACAAAACACTTCATCAAAAGGAAAGGTTATGACAAAATTTAGGCGAACCTTTTATCATTTATAAATGCACTTGTAAAATTAAAATATTTAACATTATAATGTTTTAGATCTTTAGACTCTGTTAATTGTTAAATTGCTATTTAGTTAAAAATGCAGCCATTTTATTTCCTGCTGAAACCATGAATGTTAATCTATTTTTAAAAACAAATTACTAGCAGTGTTATTTATGGTTTATTATAAACAACTATATTATGAAAAATGTTGAGTACATTTTTTTATAGTTTTGTTTATCACTAATTAGTTTTCCTTTAGAAATTTATTTAAATTTTATTTGCTTTTTCTTTTTTTTTTAAGTTTTCATTAAGCTATATCAGGTCAGGTCTCCTATGTCAGGTCAGGTCTCCTATGTCAGGTCAGGTCTCCTATGTCAGATCAGGTCAGGTCTCCTATGTCAGGTCAGTTCTCTTATGTCAGGTCAGGAGTATCTTCATGATCATCCTGCTACTGGTAACATGTAACCCAGTGTAACCTGTTCCATGTTCTGCTGCCTTGCAGGATTTGCTTTCTAAGCAAAGGCTGGAAGAAGTGTGGTTCCTGTCATCAGTACTATCAGTATCTTATATCAGTCATGCCTATAGTAATATTTTTTTTTATATATATATAGTTGGAGGTGCCTTAGTTACTGTATTAGCTCACCTGTAATCTACTTTATATGTATGTTTGTTCTGTCTGAACCTCTGGCGCGGTGTTGACTCACCCGTAAGTTGATTTATGTTTGTTTGTGTTCTGTTTATTCTCTGATGCAGTGAGCTCAGTAACTAGCTACTTACTCCAACTACAAAATCTACACTCACCTTAGACTCCTGTATTTTGTTAGATTCAGTGTTTTTCCTAATGCACTTCCAAAATGTCATGTCTGGTTTTCTCAAAGTACTGTTGCGGGAAGTAACTCCTTTTAACTACTTCAGGTCAGGTCAGGATAATCAAGATCAATCTTGCTAATGGTACCACCTGCCACAAGCCCTGCTGCCTTGCAGAGTGTGCTCTTCTTAGGCAAAGGCTAAGAGAAATAAACTCCGACTAAAAATTCCCCTGCCTTGGGGCTCTTAATTGAGTAAAGGCTAGAGATGGTGTCTTGATAAAAACACTCATCTTGGGCAGATGTTAACTGCATCCAGCTAAACATCCCCTGCCTTAGGGCTCTTGGTTGAGTAAAAGCTAGAGATGACGTCTTGATAAAAATACTCATCTTGGGCAGATGTTAACTGCACCCAGATACTGTCTTGTAGAAGGTCTCCTAGGCAAAGACTTTAGGGGTAAGCAGAAAAATTCTGCTAACCAGCCTCGAACCCCTTCTTCATCTATTAGGCTGGCGTAGATGTAACCTGTGTTACATTGTTTCCTGCCTAGGATGATGAATGCTGGATCTCCTTGACTCTACTCATAGAATTTTGCTTATGCCTCCTTGATAATGGCTATGCAACAATTCCTGTTATCTCCATATGAGGGTACAGCTCTAAAACTCAGTTTAATGGTTTTGAGGCCGGCTGGTAGTAAGGTTCCCTGAACTCTGTGGTAGCTCTCAGAGAGGCTGCTTCCATCAACAGCTGCAAAATATCAGAGTATTAACAGTGCCATGTTGCGCATGGATGGCGTCCCTGTTAATGCTTTTGGTGTGCATTGTCAAGGCCACATAAGGAGCCCTATGTCACGGCTTAGGGTTAATTAACAGGACTGAGACAACTGCATAGCTCATTGATTAGGAGGCTGTGCTCTATCTATGAATGAGCCAAGTTCTCATTAAACCCAAATCATGACCAAAGTAACCAAAAATTTTAAACCTAAAAAACCATCCTCACCACCTAAATGTTTTAATATATCTTTTACAAATATTCGCGGTCTGCAAAGCAACTTTCTGTCAGTTGAGCCTTACCTCCTGCAAAATTCACCAGACTTGCTTGCACTCAGTGAAACAAATTTAAATTCTGCAATTCCTTCTTCAGATGTCAGTGTTGATGGGTACTATCCTTTGATTCGTAAAGACTCCAATAGTCACATGCTACGTTTAGGGGTATAAACACGCATTAATTCCCCTATTTGTCATGAAATCAGGTTCGAATCCTTTGACCATTCTTTTATGTGCTTTCGCCTAGCACCTCTTCACTCTATCACCTTTCTTTTTGTTCTTTATCGTTCAACTTCTTCCCATGATTGCACTCTTTTAGATGTTATCTCTGATCAAATTGACCATGCCCTCTCTCTTTACCCCTCTGCCAATATTGTTGTTGTTGGTAATTTTAATGCCCATCACACTAAATGGCTTGGCTCTAACACCACTGATACTGCTGGCACTAAAGCCTTTAACTTCTGCGTTTCTCAATTTCTTACTCAGATAGTTAACTTTGTGACTCGTTTTCCTGACAACCCTAATCATTTACCTTCACTCCTTGACTTATGTCTTGTCTCTGACCCTAGCTTATGTTCAGTTCCCTTTTCTCCCTTAGGTGGTTCTGAGCATGCAATGATCTCTATGAATTTTTCTTCTCATACTTCTTTTTTGGGCTCACTTTATCATCGCACCACCTACTACTACCCTAAAGCTGACTGGGATTTTTTTTCGTGATTTTCTTCGTGATGGTCCTTGGGCTGATATTTTTTCTCTCTCAGCTGATAAATGCGCCTCCTACGTAACCTCCTGGGTTCAGGCTGGAATGGAAGCTTTTATTCCTTTTCGTCGGTTTTAAGTCAAGCCTCATTTTACTCCATGGTTTTCTTCTTCTTGTGCAGCTGCTATATCCAAATGTAATCATTTTTTTCATCTTTTTCAAAAGAACAACTCTCTTGAGAACAAACGGCTATTTATTATTGCAAGAAATCGATGTAAAAAGGTGCTTTCTGATGCTAAACTCCATTATTCTCAGTTCACTAAATCTCGCATCTTATCACAGAAGTTAGGCTCTAAAGACATTTGGAAAATCTTCAACAGCATTATTAACAAGGGTAGATCTAACATTCCATCTTTCATTCATGGGACTGATCTTATTACCTCTCCCAAGGATAAGGCAGAACTATTTGCAAAGAACTTTTCTTCTAATTCCACTCTTGATTCTTATGGACATTCTCTTCCTTCCATTCCAGTCAAACAGGTTGACCCATTGTTAGACATTCAAATCACTCCGGCTTCTGTTGCTAAAGTCATATCTCAATTAAACTCGTCTACAGCTTGTGGTCCAGACAACATTCCTGTCATAGTCTTGCAGAATTGTTCTCCAGAACTTTCTTCAATTCTCTCTAAACTATTTAACAACTGTTTGACTGAGTCTTGTTTTCCTGCTTGTTGGTAAATGGCATCTGTGGTTTCAATATTCAAAAACTCTGGAGAAAATTCTGACCCCTCCAATTATTGTTCGATCAGTCTTCTTTCTGTTATTAGAAAGGTCTTTGAGTCTTTGATCAACAAATTCCTCACATCTCATCTTGAGTCAAATAAACTACTGTCAGACAATCAATACAGTTTTCGACTCTCTCGCTCTACGACCGACTTGCTAACTGCTATAACTGAAAGATTTTATTGTGCATTAGATGGAGGTGGTAAGGCTAGGGCTATTGCTCTCGACATATCTAAAGCTTTCGACAAAGTTTGGTATGCTGGTCTTCTCCATAAGCTTGCTTCATAACTTCTGGGGTTCCCCAAGGTTCCATCCTGGGCCCTGTTTTGTTTCTTATCTACATAAACGATCTTCCTGACAACCTTTCATTTAAAGTAGCTCTTTTTGCTGATGACTCAACTTTATACTCCTGTCTTGACAAAAAGTCTTTTCTTTTCGATCGCCTAGAACAAGCAGCTGATCTTGAATCTGATCTCACTTCAGTAATAGATTGGGGTTCACAGTGGCTTGTGAATTTCAACTCTAAAAAAACCCAATTGCTTACTGCAAACAACTACCGTAATATGGTCAACATTCCTATATTAATGAATGGCAATTCTCTTACTGAGTCCTCCTCTTTACGTCTTCTTGGATTATTGCTTACTACTGACCTTTCATGGAAACCATATATACAATCGATTGCTAAATTAGCTTCTGCTAAGGTTGCTTCTCTTTATCGTGCTCGCCATTTCCTTACTTCTGATTCCATTCTCTACCTCTACAAATCTCTTTTTCGTCCCTGTATGGAATACTGTTGTCATATTTGGGCTGGTTCTTCTAACGATTCACTTTCTCTTCTTGACAAGGTTCAAAAACGCAATTTAAATGTTGTTGGACCTGGACTATCTGCTAAGCTTGAATCTCTTTCCCATCGTCGTAAAGTTACATCTCTTTCTCTTTTCTACAAATACTATCATGGTCACTGCTCAAAGGAGTTATCATCTCTAGTTCCATCAACTAAAATTCATTCTCGTTTTACTCGTCATTCAGCTAAGTCTCATTTGTTTACTGTATGTGTCCCTGCATGCTCTAAAAACTTTTATTCATCTAGTTTTTTTCCCCGCACTTCAATCCTTTGGAACTCTCTCCCATCTTCATGTTTTCCTGACTCATACAACCTTCAACTTTTCAAGTCTTCTGTCAACCGTTTCCTTGCTCTATAACTCTGTTCTTTTTTTTCCTAGTAACTCCCAACTTAATAGTGGTTGCTTGCAGCCTTGTTGGGAGTGAATGCATATTAAAAAAAAAAAAAATTTAGTTTATATGTTTGGAATCAGAGGTGTAATGAAGGTTTATTGGAGCTGAATTTTTAAACTAAGATTTTTAATTCACAAGTTGTAAACAGCTTTTAACTTTTTTTCCAACAAATGTTCTTATTCAGGAACATTCAAAATGATAGTATTTCACAATTCACATTCTTATCTTTGAATGTTGTTTATTTATATCAAATTTGTATTCAAGAATTCATGTTTAGTATTCTCAAAAATTTGAATTTGAAATGTTTTAAGCGAAAATTATAATTAATTAGATTATATTTGATTATAACTATTTTAGTAAAAAATATGTAAATGTGTCCAGGTATTATTTCCTTAAAATTAAGCAAAATTTAATTTTGATGATTCTTATGTTTCCATATGGGAACTGCATTTAAAGTTTTTTAAAGTTTTTTTTAAACCCCAGGAACTAGATATTTAGGTCATACTAACTTTAGTGTTCAAAGTATATTTAAGAAAAATATGCATTATTTGAATTTTTAAATACTAAAACAAAATCACCATTATGTATCACCACTTCTAAGTTTGATAGAATATCCTGATTTCTAAATTTAAATCTTTAATATAACTTCCAAATTAAATCTATTGGTGCAGGAGAAAATTAATTGAAACTTCCTTACTAGCAAGAGTAGAAGCACCACAAGATCTTTATTATATCTTGCAAAATATGATTCAATTCTAATGAAGTAAATTTTAAATTTTGGTTACATTTTTGATGATGATGATGATGATGATGATGATGATGATGCTGATGATGATGATGATGATGATGATGATGATGATGATGATGATGATGATGATGATGATGATGATGATGATGATGATGATGATGATGATGATGATGATGATGATGATGATGATGATGATGATGATGATGATGATGATGATGATTTATTTAATGGGGTTTGATAAATCTCTGTCAAAAATGCGTAATATTTTCAACATCTTGCATTAAATAAAACTAAATAATTTTTATTTAAATTTGGCTTCAATTTTTTGAATTTATAAAATATATAGTGTAAAATTTTTTCTTTTAGTTTAGTACGTGAGTTGGCATTCACTGCAAGAAAAATGTTTGCTGATGAAGCGCTTTCATGCGGCTTAGTGAGGTAAAAACTTTTCTTTAACAATTTTTGAAATTTTTTGAAAATTTTTTCAAAGAAATTTGAAAAAATAATGTCTGATTAATAAAATAAAATTTTAATAATAATTAAGGGAGTAGAACACTTTTTTTATAAGTAAAAAAAAAACTTCAAGTAAAAGATTAACCTTTGCTGCATTTTTGCATTTTTGCTAGCACATTACTAAACATCTTTCTCCCCTTGGCAATGTTTGTTAGCCAGGATTTTTGTTTCGGATTTCAACGTTTAAGAGGCAGTTGTAACAACAGTTTAAAAAAAAAAATGATGGCAACCTTTTTGTCTGTTGTGGATCCCTCTGCTTTAGATAATAATAATAATTACTATTATTATTATTACTATTATTGTTATTATTATTATTATTATTATTATTATTATTATTATTATTATTATTATTATTATTATTATTCAAATAAAATGATAAGAATATTAAAAGTTCAAAATTAAATGTAATTAAAACTTTCAAAGCTTTGAAATTTTAAGTAGAATAAGTTCTAACGGTTTTGATAATAAAGATGACCTTATGAAGAAATTTGTTTTATATTTATTTAATATTTAATATATTTTTTAAATTGGAAATTTTTTTATTAAAGTTTTGTGTTTTAGTCGTTTGTATGATGACAAAGAAACAATGCTGCTCCATGCAACTGAATTAGCTATTGAAATTGCTTCTAAAAGTCCTGTTGCTGTAGCAACAACTAAACATCAATTAAACTATGCAAGAGATCATACCGTTGAAGAAGGCTTAGATTATATTGTAAGTAAATGTTTAGAAAAATTATCTTTAAAAATAATCCTTACCCATTAAATTTTTTTTTTTTTTTTGTTCTGTAAAATTTTAGCCAAAAAAAGGTCAAAGTTGTTGTAAAAACATCTTATTAAAAGTTTATTTTTTCCTCATTAAAATGAGCAATCCAAACGCTAAACTCCAATTTTAATGAATTTTAAACCTTTTTTATAATTTTTTAAATAAATTGCAGTGTTGTTGTAACAATTTTTATATTTAAATTATTTTAATTTTGATTTAAGTTTTTTTTTTTTTTTTGCATTCTACAATAATAAATAATGGCACTAATATAAGTTTGAGCAGGGAAAAGAGGAGGTAATTACAAAGATGTCATTCTGTACAATTTCAAATTTCAAAGTTGTATGTAAATATTTTTCATGTATTTGAAATATCTTTAACTTGAATTATTATATTGTTTGTTTTGAAGTTAGATTCATTTTGAATCATGAATTTTTTTTCTCATTTAAACTGTTAATTGTTTATCTTGGCAGAGAATTACAAGATGAAAAAACTTTTCAGTTCAAGAAACCTGGTGCTTATCATCGTGCTAGATTCATGCACAATAAACTATACATCTTTAAGTATGTGATGTTGGACAAACAAAATTTAAACAGCTATTTGTTGCTATATGATCATATCAAATTTCTTTAAATTGTTAAGCTGCCTAGATGAAGTTTATATACTTATATCAAAAGTATCCACATTTTCTAGATCATTTGAATATCTCCCTGCTGAAATAGTGTTATTTTTTATAGTGAAATAGTGTTATTTTTTATATATATTTAAATAGTGTTATTTGAAATAGTGTAATTTTTTTAGGCTTGCCTAGCGAGTAGCAAAAGCAATTAACTTTGTGCAAGGAAAATCATTGTGGTTCTAAAGGTTTTTAGAAGATCAAAGTGTTCAATACTGATTACACAATTTGGTAAATTAGGGCGTATAATGTAACATGTTTAACAGGCAACATTAAGTACATGCTTTAAAAGTAGCCACATTCGTTTGTAAAATTGTAGATAATAATTACATATAATAAATCACAACTCTGAGATAATTCACTGCAAAAGGTGGTAGCTCTCCCTACAAAAGTGTTTCTCTCAAATAAAAGACAGGTCAAGGAAGAAATGGAAAGAATATTAATTACCAGCAAATTAGACAATATGGTAATTGTCCTGCCAACAAAAATATATCATCAGTAACAGAAAATGTTCAATGTTTTATATGCAAATCTTTACGGTTTTATGTTGTTTGCTCATCTATTCCAAAATTCCTACTCTAAAAAAAGATAAAGTAAAAACTACAGTTTTAATGTATTGCCTTGTGATGTCTGTCTAACCAACTTTGAAATAACTTTGTCTAAATTAGAAACATCGAGACTGAACACTCTAGAATCTAATGTTACTGATATCAAAACTCAGCTCGATGAAGTAAAAAAACTGTTAAAAACAAGCTTAAGTGTTACTAAATCGGAAAAAGAAATAAAATAAAAAAATTTATGGTTTAACAAGGAAATATTATATATAGTTAAAACCAATGCCAGATTCTTTCTTGGCTATTCTAAAAATACCTAATGAAAAAATTAATAAAAATAACATAAAATAACATAATTAAATAAAAATAACCCTTTTTGATATTAGGTATAAATTTTTTACATGTTATAAAGTAAAATATTTACAATTTTTACAATAGTTTTACAATAACTACATCTACACATGTCAAATTTACATTACATTACAATCATTTTTATTTATATGTCAAATAAATGTTTCAAGCATTTTTAAACTAAGACATATTGTGTTTGCAGAGCTTCATGCAGGGCTAATCTGTACCAAAGTCCGTAAAAAATACTTGTTAATATTATTTTTATTGAAATCTGATATTTTTTTAGGTATCATGTATTTCAGAGTTATTTCTAATATCAATGGGAAAATAATGGGCATATTTAAAGAAATAAGCATGGATAATATTATACATAAATTAACTCTTTAAAAATAGCAGCTCAAAGTTCATGATGAGAAGAGTCATTATCTTTTGTGTTCTCCACCATCACCAGTACTTTTTTGCCAGCTTTTGATGGCAAAAAGTGATGGTGATTTCTAACGGATATAGACTTGAGGCTCTAAAACCAGGTTCTAATTTTTTTCTGTTTACTATCAGACAAATTAGTCTTAGTAAGTTTGTAAAAAAAGCTTTGTCTAAAAACCTATATTGAGATTCTTGGAAGAAAGCTTTTATAAACTACAAAAGGTGGCATGAAAAAACAAGTAGTGTTTCCACATATTAATACCAAAAACATAGTTTCGCCGCAAGAAGCATTTAAGTTGGGAGTGAAATGTGCAATGCGTTTAAAAAAAATTGTTTATTTCCTTTACTGGTAGAAAATCTGGTCTCATCAAGATAACAACATTGGTCAGTATTATTATGTAAATCATACTTATCATAAACTGATGATAAAAAAATCCATCCAAATCCATCCATCCAAAAAATGATTCCAAAAAATTTGTTCTATTTTTATTTGATTTGGTTCTTGAAATTGTTAAAACTTTTGGAGTTCTTATTGATATTTGAGAAACCCATCTTTTTTCTAAACCTAGTGAGAAGTTGTCACCTGATCTGTTACTATCTCAGGGAAATACTCTACCTTTGATTTTGTAATTACCTTCACAACTGTTTGAATTGTGACAATTGTTTTTCATGTATTTTATTGGCCAACCAAATTTCAATGCATGTTCTTATTAGGATGCAATATATTCCTCTTCACTAAAAGACAAAAGGCTGTTCGATGCCTTTTACTAAGTTTTGTCTTCTTTCCAGATATGTGGTCACAGAGGATAGTGGCAATAATTTTATACATTGATGTAACCACAAGTATTGAAGCACTGCTTGAGTTTCTGGTATGGCTAGCTCAATATCTTCTGAAATGAGGCAGATGTTTTGTTTTTTGTTTTATAATGATGAACCATTATAAAAACTGAAAAAATTCAGAAAAAAAAAAAAGCATATTTAAACATAATCAATCACCGTCAAAAAATTATATATATATATTGTGGTTCTATGATTATACTTTATATAGAACAAGTTAGATTAGAATTTGATACTTAGTTTTTAAATAATACATAAAATAGGTCAGAAAGAATAAACTGTTTGGATTAGCCTCGTGTTCAGATTAGCCTCACACTACCCTATCATAACAAATCAGGAGATTTTGTCTCCTATTATCAAACATAAATCATTATGTTTAAAGTCTTAACAAAAATAAGAAAATTGTTATGAGATTTCAAAGTTATAAAAGTCACACTCAGGTTAACTTCCTGCAGAACATATGATAAACTTAATATTATTTATGCATTTATTATGCATTCTTTTAACTGTCAATGCTTCGGACATTATGCAAATAAATGCAAGAAATAAGATTTAATATGTGCTAAATTTAGTAGAAAACATTGAACTGATCAGTGCTCTTCAATATATAAAAAATGCGTTAACTGTGTTTTAGATGATCAAAATGATAATTCACTTGAGAAAGAAAAAATACTTTAAAAAAAAACTTGAAATTAATTTTTAAGTGTCAAAGGTTGTAGAACTTACATAAATTATATATTCTCATTATGCAATGTTTGTTATAGAGTTGAGAGAGGGTTGTGACCATAATTAAAGTAGTCTCTTTGACTGTAGTGGCCTTCTTGACATTAGCGGCCTTCATGAATTATCATTAAAAAAATTGGTAACTCATATTCCATGAACCAAAATGTAAAGTATGGAGCGCTACAAGGTAGAGTATCTATATTATACTACATATACCTGAACATAATCAATGTTAAAACTTTTGGATACTCCAATAATTAAAATTAAGTAAATGAGGAATTTAACATTTTGCATTGAATGAAAATTAGAGAAAGAATCAATTTCAAGGGCCTTTTTATAATGCACAAATAATTATCCAGGAAGCACCAGTGTTATTATGCAATTTAATTGCCTTCTAAATGTCAGAAAGAACACTAAAATTAAAGGAACAAAATTCAGTAATCGTTTTGGTAATTAAGCATTATCCCACTATGGTTCGAAATTTTAGAATATACTTCTAAATATCATCAGTGATAAAAAAAGCACAACTATTTAAAAGAAAAAACCAAAATCATATTTAATTGTATATGGAGACTATTCCACTATTAAAAGTTAAAAATTTGATTAATATAATAATTTGTTGCACAGCTTAGCAAGTGTTTTGCCAAATTATCAATTATTCTGGCAAAACACAATTATTGTGGGTAAACTTATGCATTTATTTATTTTTGATGCATCTATAAATATATCTATTATTAATCCCAGAGCATATCTGCTCTGGGATTAATAATAGATTAAGATAGATAATAGATAGATAATAGATTAATAATGATTTTTTGTTTTTGTAATAATTAAAAAGCATTTCTTTAAAGTGTATTATTATATTTTAAGAAATTTGTTTACTAAATATAGTTTTATTTTTTCACTTGTACTTTTTTTTATTTTACCTCCTTGTCACAACTGTTTTTCCCAAATAAAGAAAAAACCATATTTCCCTTAAATGAGGAAAGAATAAGCTTTCTAAAGATAGTTAAGTTTTTTTTGACTTTTTTCTAATACTAAATTTTACTGGACTATTAATTTGTAGTATCTTTAGAGAGAAAAAGTTTATAAAATTTGTTTTTAGCTCTCCTGGAACATGGGACTGTTGCAAACAAAAGATCTTATAGTTGCTGGAAAGGCATCCATGGAAAAGTCACTTCCTGTGTTTGAAAATATGCATTCAAAACTTTAATATTTAAAGTTTAGTTTAAATATTTAGTTTTAAAAAAAGTGTTTTTATTCAACATTTCCAAATAAATATTTCAACAATTTTTTGCATTCTTTTATATTTGTATATAATTGTAAATTGAAGAAAAACTTACAATGTTTAAAAAAGCTTTTTTTTTAAATAATTTTCTAACCCAAAATCTGTAATGCAGTAAATATGCTATAGTAGATAATGATATAGAGGATGATCTTGAATATATTTTTATTGCTCAGGGAACCCTGAAACCACATATACAGCTAAGAATATTGAACTTGTGCAAGTCATTATTGAAGAAAATTCTCATGCAACACATGATATATTTGAAGCCATGACACCAATTAGTTATTTTACAATCAACAAAATCAATCACAGTGCTCTTAAAAAAAGAAAACCGATCAAAATTACAAAAATAGTGTTGAGGAATGTAAAGAAAATTTAACTCATTTCAGAAATGGCCAATTGAGACTATGTGATATTATTACAGGGGATGAATTGTGGTTTTATTTTAGACAAGTTGGACACAAGTCGGCAGTTGTTAGTTGGGTTGGTGAAGGTCCAATAACTATTGTTAAATGTGGCAGATTTGAGCCAAAAAATATGTTCTTCAAAACATTGTTCATTTGGGTTATGTTAAAAAGGAAGACATCATTACTGTGTCAATGTCAATTAATACGTCAATATTATTATATTAGAAATTGTTTGAAACCACTTATGTGAAATAAATAAGCAAAGATCTAATACTCAAATAAATAAGCAAAGATCTCAATTTAAATTTCTCCATGATAAGGCTCGACTCCATATAACTCAAACTGTCACAAATTGCTTAACCAAGCTAGAATCACAATAATTTGCCACCTGCCATACTCACCAGACTTATTTCACTGCCATACTCACCAGACTTATATCTGATTATTGGTTATTTGATAAAAATTTGATAAAAAAGATTTGATAAAAAAGATTTGATAAAAAAAATCTTTATAATAATGCTGACATCGAAAGTCAAAAAAAATGCATAACAAACCCACTTCAAAGTATACCTAAAAAAGAGTATAAAAAAACATTTGACAAATGGCTTAAAAGGGATACAAATTTATTTAGAGAATGATGGAATTTATTTTAATTAAAAAAATTTTAAAAAAACTTTTATTTATAGAGGAGTTCTACAAAATTTCCCAACGACCTATGTACATTGTAGATAATGATTACATGACGCTCATTTTACACATACTATTGTTATTATTTGTATTGGGTTGTTATTTGCATTGCATACATTGTTATTATCATTTTTATACAATAATAATTTTTATTGTTATTGCTATTGAGGGTAACCACAATAAATTAGCCTCCTCATCTGTAGTGACTCTCTTGGTCTTGTGGAGGTGTATAAAGTTTGGTTTATTTACTTATGATTAGTTTTAAAGTAAATCTAAGTGAAAGATTGTTTAAGTTTATTTATCATAACAAAATGAGGAATTAATTATTTTTAGATAAACAAATTTTTTTTTTTTTTCCAAATGTCTCAAGCTGTTTATTAAATAAAATATTTCAATATGTTGAATGAAGTAAATTAAAATGTTTTTTCAACAATTTGGGGACTGGAGTAATTTGATGTATTGGTTTTAACTACATGCTTTCCCTTTTTTTTTATTTCTATTTTCATACTACATATCTATATAAATTATTAAATCTTATATATGTTTTTAAAAAAACTTGATTTCTATAAGTTTTCATCAAATCATGTATATCATGTTAAAATTGATACTTAAAGATATCAGCATATTTTTCATCAGTTTTCATATAGATCTTGTAAAGGTCATGTAAATGTTTATTAGTATCACTAAATATATTAAAAAATTTAATGTTATTTGTGAATAAAATATTTTCCTTTTTTTTTATGTAATGGTATGTTATTTTTATCTTTTTTTTTTTTTTTCTTTCAAGGTACATAATAAATAGTACACAACTAATTACAACATACTGGTAACAAAATTAGAGATACGTATAAAGTTTTAACATATTGAGTTTCATAAACATCATAGTTGCATTTTTTTTAAGTTATTTAAAAGGTATAAATGCTTTTTGAAATTTTAAATATTCAACTCTTAATGATGTATAATTTTCTATGTTATGTTCTTGCTGCTTTAATTTTTATTCATTTGTCTTATTTTTTGATATTTTAATATAATAACCTGAAATATTTCTATACTTAATGGTGTCTTAATGGTGTTTTCTGTTCTGTAATATAGAATTTAATGTGCTTTGTAGTCAAAAGGTTTGTCAGAAATGGTTGTAAGTTGTTTTAAAAGTAGTTTTTTGATTATAAAGTATTTTTTAAGATGATTTTTTTTTTGTTTTGTTGTTATTTGTTCAGTTATTAATAATAATAATGATAATAATTATCATTATTTTTATTAATATTATTATTATTTTTTTTAAAGTTTTTACTAAAAGTCTTTTATAATAGAAAATTGCTCTACAACTTAAATTAAATTTGGAAAATCTTACAGACTTGATACCAGAGGGGGAAGATTTTCGTTGGTATGTTAAGGTACACATTTTTTAATTATTTTTACATCAAGTCTATTGTTAGTTAAATTTAACTTTATTTTTTTGTCTGAAAATAAAAAAGAATAATATAAAATAATAATAGTTTTAAATAATTTCAATAGAATGCTATTATTTAAATTTTATTTATGTCTAATAATAATATACAATCAAGTATTAAATATTTTAATATTTTAATTGTCTCTTCTTGTTCTTATTTCTTTTTAATGTTTTCCAATTTTTATACTTAAGGTTAAATGTTCAAACTGCCAAGAAGAGTCAAAAGCGTTTGTTTATTTGTCACTTTTGGTAACTGGTTTTAAACTTGTTTTAAATAGTTTATTCTATTTACAATCTAATAATGTTCTGATATATTTTATTCAAAAACATTATTTCTACTAATTTAATTTTTTTAATTCTTAATTTATTTTTTTTAATCTTAATTTTTTACATAGGAAAGTAGCCCATTAAAAGGAGGTCGTGGTCAAGCTAGTCTTGTATCTAAATGTAAACTGTGCTCAAGGGAAAACTCAATTGGTCAGTATAATTTATTTTACTTTCATAGATAAATATTGGCTTTTAAAAAAGATTGTTGCCCCAGCCCAAGCTCTCAGTTGATGCGACAGCAGATAGTATAAGATGGTTGGTGTATACAGTACATACAGTAGCAGGCTATTTCATTATGGCGTCAGAAATGTCTAAATATGCATTTATACTTATATATATATATATATATATATATATATATATATATATATATATATATATATATATATATATATATATATATATATATATATATATATATATATAAAATATTGAATTTTCTGCATTGTTTTCTCACAAAATAATCCCGATAAACAGTATATCATTCTACTGAGGGTGAATAAAGAAAACATTATGCTACCCATAAGCAACTTTTTATTGTGCAAAAAATACTCGAAAGAGATTATCCTGTCAAAATATATTTAGAATCTTAAAAAAAAGTTGAATTTTATTTAAGCGGTATTCTAATATAAGCTTTTATAATTCCATTTACAGCGTCTAAAATGTTTTTAGTTCCAAATATTTTGTAGTTTTCCAAAATTACAAATTATTTGGAACTAATATGCAAGAATAAATTTTGCAAGAAAAATTTAAAGTAATTACTCATTTAAATCAAGAAAATTAATTAAATAAAAAATCAGAATCAATATCTTAATGCAGACTTAAAAATAAAAACCTTTTAAAAAATTATAAAATACAAATAACCAAACTAAAATTATACCTATTTTAAAGAGGTTTTTCAAAATACTGTGTATCCTGTTTATAAATACTGCAGAATTTGAAAATTAAGTATAATAGTTTTTAAACTTTTTGTGAAACAAATCTTTTATAATTTTTTGAGATTTAGACAGTTTTTCTGATAATTCTACAAAAGGAGAAACTGATAATTAAAGAAAAAAGTATTTAAATCTTTAGTGTAAAAGTTGCACTTTGACCAGTTATGCTTAGTATTAACCTAGAATTCTTTGTCACTTTTAACTCAGGACTCAGAGGGTCTATGAGTTTTTTTGTTTTTATTATTGCGCCATGTAACCATGTTTTTGGCATAGTGACATAAAGCTATATCTGACCAAAAAAATGGAGGAATACTGGGATATAATGACAGCAAATTATTAAGAAATTTTCCAAATTAAATTTTCTGTTAATGGTATTATTTGTAATGAATAGTTTTGTATATAAGCCACAAGTACATTTGGGTTGCCAAAATTTTTTTTTGTGTGTGAATTTGTTGAGGCATCTATACTTAAATCATTCTTGCACAATAAAATTGCAAGTTTGGTAATTATATAAAATCAGCTTTTATGTTTTCTTAATCATTTTTCTAATTCAGTATTGCTTGAGCATTAAATTACATTCTTCCTTAACTTTATGTTTCAAAAAAGTAGAAATGTTTTATTTTCTGGCCAGGTCATAAACCAAACCATCTGGATTTTTCTTTAAGGACATGGTCACTTTACTTGAGTAAAACCCTTTTTATGATCTTAACCTGTTTTATGATATATTTTTCAAAAATATATATTTTTCAAAACATAATAATAGTATTAATAGTAGTTGCATGCTATGCAATTACAGACTTGCCAATTTCTGTATTTGATAATGCCATATAAATAAATTTCAAGTATAATTTTCTAACAACTTCCTTTTTTGTTATCATTTTTGTTAATTTTTATTCCAAATCTTTCCAATAAAATTTATTTTTAAAGATAATCTTAAAATCAAAGAATATTGACTTCAAGATGCACATTAAAGATATTAATATGAAAAACATGTTTGAAGTGTCATAGTTGAAGACATAAACATGTGTCATAAATAAAAATAGTGTCATTTGTAATAGTTTTATTTTTTTAAGTTATATCGATAAAATAGTATATATTAAAACAGTGGGCAACTAAACTTGCTAAAGTAAGTTTTGGGTGGCTATATTTTATCAAACCTGGCCTTGTTCCCAATTAAATATATCCCATTATTAGTCATACAATTTATGCTAATTAGTTTGCTAATTTGTATTTTTTAATCGAAAATTTTTTTTTTATGACAGATATTTTGAAGGATACAATAACATCATACAACGTAAGTTAAATGATTATAATAATTGTTATTTAAAGTTATTTAAAAAAAGGCAAATTAAATAGTTTATTACTTTTAAAAAAATACGAAGATATTTTTTGTCTGAAAAAAAAATAAAAAAAAAAATTATTAATTAAATTTCATAAATCCATGTTCATAAATCTTTGTTAAGATTTTTTTATTTATTTATATAACTATATATATCAATATGTATCAGTCATATATATTAATATGAGTTGGTTATATATAAATGCTCATAAAGATTTTTAATAAGATTTCCTCTACAATTACTTGAAACTCCTCAAAAGAATAAAGTGCAAAAAAGTATATTTTTCAATTTGTTCTATTAACATTTTGTTGTTTTGAATTTTAAAAAAATATTATTTAACACCTCATTTAATTTTTGTTTAATCTAATAGATAAAAAATTATTAAATATTGATAATAATGTATTGATTAAATTTTTACTTTTTTTTTTTTTTTCAAAATTTTTTATTTTAAATTAAATTAGAAAATAAATTAATTTCATTAATAGTAAAGATTATTAAAACTGCAAAAGTATTTGATATTGATAAAATTTATCGTAAAAATATCCGTAACAGTCGTGCACTTTAAACACGCTGTTATATTTTAGACCATAAATTTATATTCACAACATAAATTAAAATTTATTTTGTACGTAGCTTGAGGATAGCAATTCTTTCAAGACAATTGTCCAATTTGATTGCAGAGGCATGGAACCAAATGAGTTTTCTGCAAGGGTAAAATATAAACGTTTTAATTTGTATTTCCTATAATTAAATTTAATTATAGTTATTAGATTTCACTATTACACACTTCACACATTTCTTGACACTATCATCTGGTACTTGAAGTAATAACTTCACAAGACACTTTCATGGTTCTACTACACTGTGTTACTACTGCTCTATGTTACTACTGCACTATGCACATAATACTGCATTATGTATAACGCAAATCATGACTGTTGAATTGCACACAATTTTTTTAATTTCGTTGAAAACTGTTGTTTTGAAAAAAAAACTAGTTGTCATGTTTGATTTATTTTCAGTACAAAAATTCCAGCTTATACACTTCAAAATTTCAAACAGTTAACTGCTATCAGCTATTTAGTCATAAAATTATATTGAAATTGTTGTCAGAAATGATCTTTATGCCATTAGATATGGCAGGTTTCTATCCTAAAAACATTAAGTTTTTAAAACTATCAAGATTTTAGTTGATAGATATAAGATATAAATTTCAAAGCATGTTTTTTTTTTGTTTTTTTTTTCAATTTTTAGACTGGATGGGTGGCCAAAGGAGCAGAAACCTCTACCAAATTTAATGTTGATTTAACAGAGGTAAGCATAGATGCATAGATTTTTTTTTTTTGAAAATTTTAAGTTCCAAATTTATTGTTCACTGATTTTTTACAAAATTTACAAAATATCTAAGAAATATATAATTAAATAATTTTTTCTTTTCAAAAAACGTTTTCAATAATTTTTTTTTCAAAAGTTTAAATTAAAGTCAAATAAAAAATAAATAACTGAAAAAATCTAAATAGGATGGTGTTCGAAATGTTTTAAGATTAAAAGTCTAGTCTTTATACTTTTTCAGGGGGTAGGGTGTAATTCCCATGTATAACATTTATACTGCCATAACAATATATTTCATATTCTTATAAGCTAACTTATAAATATGTTTAATATCCTTACAGATTGCCCTGCAGATTAGGTTATAAGAAAACTTGTAGATAAATATGTATTTTTCAATAAATTTACTGCTAACAATTTATATATATTTATTATATATTATATATTTATTATATATTATTATATAGGAGATACTAGAAAAAAAGAGTTAAAGAGCAAGCAAGCGGTTGACAGAAGATTTTAAAAGTTGTAGGTTGTATGAGTCAGGAAAACATGTATAGGATAGATAGGAGAGTGTTCTAAATTGTTGAAGTGGGAGGAAAATAACTAGAAAAATAAAAGATTTTGGAGCATGCAGGGACAGATACAGTAAAAGAATGAGACTTGAATGATTTGTGCTATTGTGCTGAATGATGAGTCAAGCGAGAATGAGTTTTGGTTGATGGAACTAGAGATGATAGCTCCTTTAAGCAGCATCCATAATAGTATTTGTAGAAAAGAGAAAGAGATGCAACTTTATGACAATAGGAGAGAGGTCAAAGCTTGGTAGAGAGACCATGATGTTTAGGATAGCAGTCAATTTTGAATCTTCTGCGACAGCTTAGGGATTGTATTGATTTGTGAAATTTAACCCAAACAAAACTCAGTTATTACTAATAACTATTGTATTACTGTAGACAGTTCTTTATTGATCATTTTATAATCTTTGAAAAGTTAGTACCCAGTACTTGTTTAAAAAAAGTTTAAGTAGTTTAAGTAAAGTTTAAATAAACATTGCAACACAACAAAACACAACGGAAAACAAATGTCTTTGATCTCTGTACTTTAAGTTATAAAAATACTTGTTCATTTTTAAAATAAAGTTTCTAAACATTATTTCAAAAATGAACAAGTTATTAACTCCTGTAAAGCAGGGTTTAATAAAGGAGTACTAGGCAAAGATAATGAGTACTTCTCTGCATTAGTTCAACTGTTCAAAAAAAAAACATGAAGAAATAGTTACAGTTTAAAGGTGCAACGTGGCAACAATGATAAGCCTCACAATGGCAACTTGTCAAACAGTTGCGTTACACCATTATACTTGTTTGGTAATAAAAACCTGAGTTTTTGTTATTTAAACTAAAGTTGATAGCTTACTTGAGCAACCATGGCAGTATTTGTCGAAAAGAGGTGCAACCTTAGGACAATGGAAAAGCGATTCAAATTTTGCAGCTAAAGCGGATCTAACTAAAGTTAAAATGTGCTTTCAGGCCTTGTTTCAAAAAGAAAGAGCATTGTTAGAATAATTAGCCCAAATATGATAAGAGTCGTCTATACTAGTACAGATAAGCGGATGGAACCAGGAGTAAGGAGATGGTAAGCTCGACGAAAAGTAACCTTAGCAGATGTTAACTTAGTGATTGGTTGGATCATTTCCTTGAGAAATCAGTGAAAAAGATAATCTTATCAATCGTGTAAAGTTGTTTTTTTTTTCTTGTGTAAAATTGTTTCTTTTTAATGTCATCTGAAGATGTCAATGGTTTCTGAAGCTTTATTTAAAAAAAGAGTAATCATTTTTATAGCGTCAAGTATAAAGAATAAAGAACCTTTTTTTCTGTTGTCAATAGCGTCATTTATCTAGTTAATTAAATGAGTGTGGTAATTACAGTTTAAAGATCGAGTAACTTTTTGATCCATGATCTTCAAACAGGAAGTTTTATTTGAAAGAAGAAAGTAGAGTTTGATTGATTTAAGATTCTCAAAATTTGGATGGTCGGTGCAATTGACAATAGTTAATGGTACCTTACGTCTTCTTAGACAAATTGTCTGTTGTATTCTCTGACACAGATATCAAATTGTTTAGAGCACATTTGGTTTTAGGTTGTTTTTTTTTTTACTTTAGGTTAGTAAAATTTATTAGGCTTACGAGACTAAGCCGATTAGCCTAGTAAGCCTAATCGTTTCTTGTCTCATTTATTTTTACCTTTCGAATGCATAATTTTTTATGGAAGTTATATGCAACAAATCAAACTAAACAAATCAAACTTAATTGTATAGTCGTAACGAGACAATATTGTCAGCAAAGTTGTTTACTTCCAAGTAGACGTTATTTCATGGATATTATCTTAACCTAAGCAAATGCAGATTTTTGTTTTAGGGTTTTAATTTGCTCTTATGCGGTGCAAAGTCATGATGCAATAGCCTTGCAAGAAGTAAATCCATTACTCCAGCTCTTCAAATGAACTTTAAACAAATTAAATTAAGTCTATGATGATTTATTGAATTTGGGCAATCGAATGTGAATGAGAGTTGCATATTATTATTTCTTAATGAAAATTTTAATGATATTATTTTGAGTGAAACTTTCTTTTTTCTATTTATCTAACAGTGCATCGGATGTTTGAAAATTGTTTTACCTTAGTTCTTTTGTAAAATACAAAGCTTTGACTTTGAAAATGGTTCTAGACAAAGAAATGTTTTAGTGTTAAGCGTTTAAAAACCGACTAAAACATGGTTTGTTCAAATCCTTACACAGACTTGCATCCTGATTCTTTTTTCCAACTTCTGAATATATTGTTTTTTCTTTAATTTAACAAGGCAATGTTTGCTTTGGAATGCCATGTTTTTTTATATGAGTGAAAAAGATTTTTCTTTCAACTTCGACATTCTTCGAACTTTTCGAACATTTCCGACATTCTTCGAACTTCGAATCATTCAAACTTCGACATTTTAATAAGAAAATTTTAATCAAACCGAAACGAAGCGATGTTTAATTTTTTGAATTATTTTTGACGAAAATAGTACTTAGTTATTTTTTGAACGTTCGAGTTTTTATTCTTGCATATTATGCACATTAATGCAAATTGAATTATAGCCTTAATTTAGTGAAATTTTCTGCCGATGGGACGAAAAAACGGTAAGAATTAGTGAGAGTCTGATTTAGAGAACGACTTGAGCGGATGATTTGATACTTAGTTGGTAGAGAGAATTCCTGTGGAATTGAAAATCTGTCCGACTTGAAGTTTAAGTTCAACTAATTCAAGGTCCGGTTTACAAGATTTTGCTGTATATACATAAGATTTTTTGTTAATTTTAAAGTACTCGTTTATCCTAGTTGTCAAATGTTTGTAGATAACTCCAATACAGTTACAGCCAGCGCAAGAAATTGTGCTGATAAAAATGAGTTTGAAGTAGCTTAGGGTCTTTTAAAATTTGGGTGAAAACTTAAGATATCTTATTTGTTTTGTTATAGGGAGATTGGTGTGATTTTGATGAAAAAGCTGGCCAAAGTGTTGGCGTTTATGAAATCGAATCCCGGTTTATAAAAGCTTAGCTGATTTCTTAGAATTATAAACTTTAGTTGCAAGTTTAACATCGTATTGGGTTTTTTTTTACTTCTTCTAAAGCCGTAACATGTTTTTATTTTTATTTGTTTTATTTTTGTTTTTACTTGTATTTTATAAGTTAGAAAGCTTTATTTAAAACTCTTGCGCTAAAAATTTTATCTCAGCATTTTCTTCGAATTTTTTTATTTAGAGTGTAGAATTATATATATATAATATTATATATATAATATTATATTAAAAATAATTAGTTATTAAACTTTAATTTATTTGTAGGTAAAATATAAATTTTTTTGTATATCTACAAAAATAATTTACTAAGAGATTTTTTTTTTTTTTTTGATTTAATCACCTTAATATCAGAGCGAGTCAAGACCACGTGATAAAAATAACTAATCACCGTTCACTAATCGACTTCATTTAATAATTATTTTTGGTAAAATATCTCAAATTAAAAAATCAAATGTAGAGGTCTTGAATATCAAAAACGTTTAATCATTAAATGAAAAATTTGCTATGAAAAGTCGCAAAAAAACTTAATTGCAGTCGCAAAACTATTTGGTGACATTAAGAAATACGTGGAAGTCAATTCTATACTATACCGTAAAATCGCCTAAGTTCGGTTACTTAAGCTTTGAACATTTTATCACGAAAAACATTAAATTTTCAATTTTTTTTCCTGAAACATAGAAAATTATATTAATAAATGATATCGTAAAAATAATTAATAAAAACTAGTACTCAATATTTAATTTAAAATGAAAACGTCTACTTTAATCCAATTTTCAATACCATCTCATAAGTTCGGCCGCTATATAAATACTAATAACACATCACAAACTTAAAGTCACAAATAATGAAAACTGATTTTTAAATGTTGTTTTAATGTAAAATTATGATATAAATTCAGGTAATACAAGTTATTAAGGTAACTAAGGAGGGCGTCGTATTATTTGAGAAAAAAATATTTGTAAAATTTGAGTTTTGTATGCTTTTTTTATATTTTTTCTTAAATGACTAAAGTTACATGGTGACCGATCTTAGGCGATTTTACGGTATAAAAACTTATAATAAAACAGAATGCATGTACAACTGCTTGTGGCTTGCAAAAGCAGATTTTGACAAAAACAAAAGAAATCAGAATTCGAAATTAAATATTTTCGCAATTCCGTCCGAATTCTGAAAATATTTAATTTCGACGATACCCTACGGGCATTTGTTTTTAAAAGTGACGTTTTAAACGTCTTTTAAACGTTCTTTCCATAAGAATGTTTAGAACACGTTTAAAAGACATTTAAAATACATTTAGAACGTAACTTTTAAAAACAATTGCCCACTGGATATACCATATTAGAAACATTCTAATATGGTATGATTATATCATACCATATCATATCATTTAATAATTAAAAAAAATGTTTTATTTGCCTTGAGGAAGCAGAGTTAACTTAAAGCTGCGTCTCTGAGTCTCGATCGAACTTTAGTACAAAGTTACCAGTAATTGAGAAGGCTCGCTCAGACTCCACGTTTGATGGCGGAATCAAAAATGAGTAGACGGACTTTAATATTTTGCCACGAACGCCATTCTTTTCAATAAATTTCAATTCGGATTTAATATTTGAAATTAAGCTATTATTTATTAATTTATTTTTTATTAATTTTTATTTATACTAATATTATATTAATATTTAATTATTAATATATATATATATATATATATATATATATATATATATATATATATATATATATATATATATATATATATATATATATATATATATATATATATAATATATTATATTAATATTTAATTATTAATTTATTATTTGTTAAATTATTGTAGAGTTGAGCTAGACGGTATGTTGGACGATAAATTCAATTAATTTTTGTTCTCTAAAATTTTGCATTAACAGGCTTAGTTTGTTCTTTTATTAACATTACTTCTACCACATCGTCAGCTGCTGACTGCTTGCCTGAGGAAGTTTTCATTTTATGGTTAAATATCAATCTTTGTACTAAGTTTTCAATGACTTTGGCTAATTTTTTTTTAATGAATACTAATATGTACAGCAACAAAAATACAATTTAAAAGTTGGAGCATTTCTTTTTTTCTTAAGATTTTTTATTTTAATCTTTTTTTTTAAGATTTATTTTAAGATTTAATCTTTTTTTCTAAGATTTCTTTTTTTCAAACAGGTATGCTCAATCACCGTTGTTAACTTGTACAAGAAATTTCAGTTATGATTTTTTAAAGAAATTTTATTGAATATTCAACAAGTTCTAACAACGAAGCCATTACATGGTTGCAATATACAGTCACTCCTCCTGGACAAGAGCAGTAAAAATTAACAACTTATCACATGTAATTGCTGTTTTTTATATTTATACCAGCGTTTTACAATCTTTCAACTTGAAACTCGTTTTTTGCCGTATAGGTAAATATGGTGGTTGATGAATTAAAACGCTCCTATCTAAATTTTTTTAAACTTTAAATAGTTTCTTTTTTCATTATAAATAAATATAGTAAGGTTTCCATATAACGCCAACATATTTCCCAATCAAATCAGTATGTTCCATTTGTGAAAAAAAGGTTCTAGGAAAAATATTCTAACGTTGTTCTTTACTTACTGCTCAACAGAATTCAATTCAAAAATTATTTAGTCGTAGGCAAATGTTTTTAATTTCTCGTTATAAAGGTCATAATGAAAGAATAAAAATATATTATCATTGGCTTTGTTGTTCTAAATAATTCAGATAAAGAACTTCTAAATTTGTTGTGGTTTTAAATTTTTTTTTCTGGATTTAAATATAATTAAATCTAGAAAGCTGCAACAAGTTTAGTCTTGTTTTTATTCTGTGTATCTCCGTGGCAGTGGTCTTGTTTTTATTCTGTGTATCTCCGTGGCAGTGGTAGATTAAGACTTTTCAGGGGTCCGTGGCTATTTAAAACAGAAGGTTCTTTTCTATTCTCATATTATTCTGATTCACTCCCAACAAGGTTGCAAACAACCACTATTTAGTTGGTAACTAGAAAATAAAGAATAGAGTTAAAAAGTAAGAAAACGGTTGACAGAAGACTTAAAAAGTTGAAGGTTGTATGAAAACATGAAGATGGAAGAGAGTTCCAAAGGGTTGAAGTGTGTGTAAAAAAACTGGACGAATAAAAGTTTTTAGAGCATGCAGGGATAGATACAGTGAAAAAAATAAGACTTTGCTGAATGACAACTTAAGCGTGAGTAAGTTTTAGCTGATGAAACTAGAGATTATTGTTCCTTTGAGCAGAGACTATGGTAATATTTGTAGAAAAAAGATAGAGATGCAACTTTACAACGATGGAAAAGAGGCTCAAGCTTAGCAGATAGAGTGGGTACAACTACATTTACAATGCGTTTTTGGACCTTGTCTAGGAGAGAAAGAACATCGTTAGAAGAACCAGCCCGAATATGGCAACAGTGTATGGCAACTGTATGGATACAGGGACGAATAAGAGCTTTGTAGAGGAAGAAAATGGAATCAGGACAGAGTAAATGGCAAGCACAATAAACTGAAGCAACCTTAGTAAATACTAATTTAGCAATTGATTGTATAAATGGTTTTCATGAAAAGTCAGTAGTAAACAATAATCCAAAAAGACGTAAAGAAGAGGACTCGGTGAAAGGGTTGCCATTCGTTAATATAGGAATGTTGACAGTACTGCGATATTTGTTTGCAGTAAATTAATGATTTTTGTTGGGGGTAAAATTTACAAACTACTATGAGCCCCAATTTGTTACAGAAGTGAGATCAGATTTAAGATCGGCTGCCTGTTCTAAGCGATTAAAAAGAGAAGACTTTTTATCAAAACAGGAGTATAAAGTTGATTCATCAGCAAAAAGAGCTACTTTAGATGTATGGTTGTCGTATAATGAAATCATTAATGTAAATTTTTTTTTTTTTTTTTTTAATTTTCCGTTTTCGTTACAATTAAAATCCGTAATATAATACCAGATATTCTTATTCTTTCAAAAATAAACCAGTTATAAATATAAAAAATCAAAGACAAAATAGTAAGAGTTAGTTACACAAAAATAAATAAAAATGCGGGAAACTTGCAGAAGACCATTATGTCTTATTATCAAGAACCGTTGTAATAATTATGTTTTTACAATATTAAATTCCCATAATAGTGTTAAAATCAAAACTTAATTAACTAAGGTAAATAGTGTTAAAACCAAAAACTTTTCAATGTAAAAAGACAAAAATTAAAAAAAAAAAAAAAAAACAAAGCAGCTTAAAAGAAATCATTAATAAGATTTGTATACTTTGAAATATTCTTTTTTATTAGTTTTTGAAAGCAATTTATATTGTTTACACCTGGTAAATTACTATATTTTGCTAAGATTTTATTCCAGATATTGATAGTTTTCCGACATTTTAGTGGTGGCTAATTTTCGGCAAGCCACTTTTGGTGGCTACCACTAATGGTCCACTTAATAACCGATGGCAAAACTACAGCAGTCCGCTCAAAATGCCTATATAGGTCCATTGAATTTCCGCTATAGCATATTTGCTGGGAAACAAGGTCATTTAGAATTAAAGTTTGAAATGAGTGAAAGATTGTCTGTAAAATATAAAGCAAAAAACATCTGAAAACACAGTTTTCTTTAAAAAAGTTAAATTGTTTTATATTTTAAATTTTCTTTAAAAAAGTTAATGAGTTGTTAAAATTAGAAACAAAGTTGTGGTTGACTTCAATAGAAGCAGATAATGAATATGTATTGCTAGGTGACACCTTAATAAATATTTATTATTAGGTGAAACCAGGGGCGTGTTTCCAATGAGTTAACAACCATCTCGCTGAAAAAAATATGCCTACTTCATTTTTCGAAAACTTCTTTACGGCCCTTTTTTTCACTTTCGTGTCCGTTGCCAGCCTGTGATTTTCATTTATCCACGACTTTACCATCGGTGTTGCATCAAAATTATTGACTGGCTTTCCAAATAAATTTATGGACATTAGATCTGCAATGTGATCTATTGTTAAACTAGTTCTTAATTTTGTTACAATTGTATTCATCAAACTAAATCCTCGTTCGGCTTCTG